GCGCCTAGAGAACAAGCTGACCCACAGAGTATTTTCCATCAAGTTATACCTAAAAATTGGACCATCTGGAAAAAAAAAAAAAAAAAAAAAAGTCATCAGCATCACTTGGCAGCCCTGAACTGTAGGAAAAAAGTCATCCCAGTACTTCCAGTGTGTCCTGAATATTCTTTGCTGGAGAACAAGCGCGGACCTTTCAATGTTCCATTTCGTGGGGACAGGAAATCCCACATATTTTGAAGACAAATTAAAAACAGACTAGATTAATTTAAATTCGTAGTTTAAAGCAACTTTTATGCAGAGTTGCGAATGACTGAAGGATACTGAAATGAAACCTCTCTCTCGCCTCCTTGACGTCTTCAACAAATGCACTAGTTGCAGTGACTCAGCATGATGAAAGGTATTAAAAGTGCCCCAAACTCTTCCAGATAGCTGGACTTCAACAGCACAAAACAACAGGAAGCCCAAGTTCTGCAGAACGTATTGGAATACATCAGCAGATGTATTTGGACATAGGCAAATGGAAGAGTTGTGTAATATTAACGTATCAGCCACAGCAAACCAAACCAAACCCCTAGGAACTTCAAGGCTTGACAACACAGGCTCTGCCTCATGCCCTTGGCATCCAGCATCCCTCCCACCAACTACTCCCAAAGCCAACAAACAGCATGTTCACAGAAACACCTCTTTTCCTTTTTGGTACTTGAACAAAATAAGTACATACCGACAGTTAAACACTTGATCACATGTAAGCTTCAAAGTCCTGCATCTTTTTAGATGCAATCATGCCTCAAATAATTTGTAAAAAGTCAGAACAATCACAATGACACATTAGCTGACATTTCTTAAAATCTGTGGTTTGTGTGCAACCAAGAGGTGCCTTTGTTCACCAAAAGGACATTCTCATGCATCAACAGGTGAATTTTCTGTCAAGCATAAGCTCAGCACTGGATTTAATAAGATTATAATGTTTTGAGATAAATGCATTCGGGATGTTTAGCCACTGGATATTTGATTCCAAAATCAGCAACTCACACAATCTCAACTTCAAACCCAAACCACAAAATAGAGTAAAATAAATCTGTGCATGTCAGGCTGGTTAAACTCTCAGAAGAGACAAAGCCTCCTGCTGAGCTTGGTGGATTATCCAAACTACCAAATAAAAACAATTAGAAATAATTATTCTAGGCGATACAGAAGGAAGTTGGTGAGTAGCTGAACCCCCAGTCTTACAGCATACTCTTAAAACTCAGAGCGTGCCTGCCTTCATAAACATCCAGGAACACAATCCCATTCTTTCTGTTCTAATGTTTTTAGGTTCTGCCTCCTCACAACACTGAGGAGTTATTATGTTTCAAGAACATATTAACATTATCCCAATCGAAAATCGCTTCCATGTCACTGAAGTCCATTTACTCCTGCATTACATGAATGGATAAACAGAAGCAGAAACACTATGACTGATCCAACACTACTTCCTAACCGCTTTTTCATACACACACAACCTCCTCATAACATCTTTTTTAAACCTGAAATTTCAGGGGAAATTTACTGTTCATCATTTGCTCTACACTCTGTTTTTTCTCCTCATAATGAATTATCAAACGTGCACAATGCTTAACAGAGTTCAAGACATTCATGAGGTTGCATAACACCACTTCCACACCTCCATTTACCTGAAGCTTTCACCAAGAGCTTTGTTCAAGCTTATCTTTGCTGCTTTCACAGAGTTTCTCTACCCTCTTCAAAATAATTCAAAAGCACCAATATTTCTGTGGGCCTCAAATTCTGCTGCTTGCATTTTCTATTGAGAAAACCCCACATTTTTACCTAGATATAAAATAAAGCAGTTTAATCTAATACTCGCTTAACAGACTCCAAAAGTTTTAACAGACTATGGATGTTTTAGAAGTTTTTTTCTTGGCCCCGACCCCCCCTTTTTTTTTTTTTTTTTTTTTAAACTTAAGAGCAGAAGAAAATGCCTTACTTTCTTATCAGCACCACTTAACTCTGAATTTACACTGGCTTTTTCTTTCCCATTATTGTATTATTTAAACAAGGACTTCTATTCTACTTCACCCCTCACTAAGAAGCTGGATAATTTTCTTCCAATCTTGTGCTCTGAAAAAAAGTACTCTGCCCTTTCTAGGAGAACTCCAAAAGTAATGCTTCCTATTTTATTATGTTGGTTCTCAGCATTAGAAGCAAATGTTGGTGGTATGGCAGTAAAGGTTTGAACCTTCCCATCAATATTCCCTTACGTGTTGTAGCTGTGCAACAGATGGCAGCAGAGGGGCAGTCTGACAAAATGGCATCTGACATGGAAGTGTGCACAAAGCAAAGGTGTGTCAGTCTACTCTTACACGAGGAAAAAGATCCACTCACTGACGTTCAGTGCTTGCTGAACGTTTATGAAGGCCAAACAGTGGACGTGAGGTGGTGCATTTCACCAGCAGTGACAGCAGTTCACCTCCACTGGTGCAGATTTTGACAAGTGAGGCACGCAGGCTCTTGTTCATCACTGGCAAAAATTCATAGCTAATGGTGGTGACTACACTGAAAAAATAGTATTTTGGGCCTGAGAATTTGCTTTATCAAATAATGTTACTGTACTCTGTTGTAGTTTCTGTGAAGACAAATAAGGAGGCATTACTTTTGGAGCAACCCACACAGCTTGTTTGCCTATTACATCATTCCAGAATCTCTTGTGTAGGGTTCAGACACTTCAAAATCCCACAACACTTAACCAAGCATGTAATTCTTTCAATGCCTTTTACTTTTCTTAACTAGATCCCAGCCTACCAGACTCCCCCTAATCTCTTTGACCATCAGAAGTATTTAATGGATTTGATTAAATTTACCTACTTGTCACTGCTCTTTCATTTTCATTTGTGTTTCTAACTTAAATTAGAACCAATAACCACGGTTCACATCACTTACTTTTAATTTTACCTGCCGCATTTTATGCTTTTTCACATAAACCTGATTTTCATTTTCTGGAGGGCGCTATTTTGGCTCCATTAACTTCATGCTTCTTACCACAGAGTTATATCTTCCAACCTATCTTCTTGACAGTTGCCTTTAAAGGCATCATTTCCTTAATGCCATTGTGTTCTTAAGAACATGAGTTAAGCCCCCCTTTGCCCCACCAGAACTCATAAAACACTTCAAAAAGAATTCCACCGTTTCATGAAGAGACAAATATCAAAGCAAGCCTGCCAGATACAAGCAGTCTAAAAACAAAAATACCTTTCTGTTCATCTTACTCAGCTGGACAAAAAAAGGGGGAGAAAGCATTTTGCTGAAACACTGAATTCGTAATATGACTGTCAATCTGGTTAAATAAACATTTACAACTAAGAGCCTTTCAGAAACTGTCACACCATCAGAAACCTGTACTACTACTTGTTTCAAAAGTGCCTAAGGAAAGTGCTGCTGAAACGGACTACTGCTGCCTCTCCCTTCCCAAACTGTGAATTCCCCAGTAAGCAGCTTTGATCTCACTGCACACGACCACATGGGCAGGCCAAGTCTGACCACACCAACACAGAAGGCACAACATCAGAAAAAGACAATGGATGGCACGCTGATGGCAAAAAGGAACATCCTGGTACAGAATTGCAACTAGGGATCAGACATGACAAAGGAACTGTTTAGAAGCCTGGGAGAGGGGGGGAAAGTTATAGCCCCAACAAATGTCATGTTCTCTTGAGCTGAAGAACCACTGGATCTTTAAGAAAAAAGAAACATGGGTCCCTATTCTGAGGAAAACCTTCCACATCATGGTATGTTGCCAACTCTCAAACTACTCCTAATTTTGTCTGTGCCTATGGGCATGTCTCCACGTAATTAAAAGTTGCACGTGTCATTCAAGCTGAAGTAAACTTGTTTTGAACTAGCTAGCTCATATCAGTGCAAACCATTAAGGTAGCGGGGAGAGCAACATAATAAAAACAAAGACAGACATAGCAAAGATTAGTTTGAGACTAACTATTAATTACTCAGTATAGACAAGATTGCTTCCATCTATGTAGCTTCTAGCTATAACATTGCAATCCCATCTCTGGATAGCCCACAGACATACCCAAACTTCTGAAGTTAGTTATTACTAGTAAGCAGTTAGGGTAGAATATACACCAGAGAGCAAAAGCTCCAGAGAAACAGAAGCTCCAATAAAACAGAATAAAGCAACCGCTAAACACAACCATTTGGGAGTTCTGCAGAAGGAGCAGATCACTATTTTCACAGCTCATGATGTATCACTCAGCCTGAAGTTTCAGTTTTCATTAAACGCCCTCAAGAGGCAAAGCTTAAAACCATCCTCACATGTGTTTCAGTAGGAGGGAACAAACGCAAAGACTATGAATGGGGCGAGTTCCTGCCGGCTGTAAGACCGCCGGTTACCTGACAATTACAAGTGCCCACAGCACGAGCCTTCGCCGCACGCAAGAAAGCAGAGATGGTACTGTAGCTGGAATAACTTCAGAAAGCGAGATAACGTTTGCAGCAAGAAGCAACAGCTCTTGCCAGACGAGCTAGAGACCGCTACCGTGAAGAACGGCGGGCTTAAAGACACGCGAGAAAGTTTCCCTGCCGCTCAGACCGGGCCCCGCCTCCCCTCACAGCGCGGTCCCCACACCCACCACCATGCCGCTCAGTTCGCCTTCCCACAGCTGAGCGCGGCCGCTACGCACTCGGAGCCCAGCGCTCCGCCGGCCCCTGCCAGGCCACGCGGGAAGGCCGTCGCTCGCCCACTTCCCAGAAGACCGCCCCGGTGCCGCCCGGCGCCTCTGCCCGAGGCCGCAGCCACCGGCCTGATCCGCCCGCCAGAGCCGCCGCCCGTTGCCCGCCTCGTGCCGGCGGCTCCGGCCATACGCACGCCGCAGACCGGGCCGCGGCGCTCTCCTATGCGGCCCCGCTCGGCACCCGGCTGCTGCCGCCGCCCTCCTTCTGGCGGCTCGGCCGGGCGCGCCCTCCCGGCGGCAGCCCCTTTACCCCCGTACCTGCGGCCCCGGCCCAGCCCCGCGCTGTCTCCTCTAGGGCCTGAGGCGCGCGAGCGCCGCTCCCTGCCTCCCTGCCTGCCCAGCGCTGGCAGCCGATGGCACTGCGCCTGCGCCCGGCAGGATGCGTCACTTCCGGCTCGACCGCTGCGCCCTGTGGGACAGGGAGCCCTTCCGGCCTGCCGAGAAGCGCTCAACCGCGCGGCCGCAGCGCCCTCATTGGGAGGGACTCCCGCTCCCGGCATGGAGCACGCGCGAGATTCGGGCCCGCGCAGCCGCAGATGAGTGCGCGGCGCTCCGTTGGGGAGTGTGTCCCTGGGCCGCGTGGCATGCCGGGAGCTGTAGTGCAGCGAGTGCCGGTCTCGTGGCCGGCGCAAAAAGTCAACTGCGGTATACGCTGAGACAGATGCATTTATTACGCTGCGTGATTTTGTATCGAGAGCACAGGCACAGCGGCAGGAAGGGGTGCCCTCCCAGCACCCTGCTGTGTCTTGGCCCATGGAACAGGCTGCCCAGGGCAGTGGGCACGGTCCCAAGCTGCTGGAGTTCAAAGCTTTCAGACATCAGGTTTGAATTAGTTCTAGTTAGTGCTGTGTGGAGCCAGAGGTTGGACTCCACGATCTTTGTGGGTTCCTTCCAGCTTGGGATATTCTATGGTTTTATCATTCGATGGAAGCAAAGTCATTTGGGGTTGCAAAGGACTTGCATGGGGATGCTTAGGGGAGAGTCCACAGGTGGGAAAGGGAGGGATTCCAGTTACCTGTGTGGGAACAAGCATGAGAATGCTAAGAGAAAGGGCTGGCTGCACATAATAGCTTTTGTAAATAGCCTACTCAGTGCCATCTGTCCTATGCTTTTGTCGTAGCCCTTTGGGCTTTTCTCTGGGTGAGGGCTTCCTTCGCTGTATGCTTAGAGCCCAGGTGCCAGCAGTCAGCACGGCTGTGTAGCTGTGCAGCAACACCAGGGTGAGCAGATAGATGTGGGGTGTGTGGGAGTGGGAATCCTCCCAGCAGCTCGTGAATGGGAGCAGGGCTGGAGGGCTAGGGGCTGCAAGGCAGAGCTTCTGCCAGAGGGCCAAGGTCAGCCATCCGCCTGGGTAGGGATGGCAGGCTCCTGGGTCCAGACATAGAGGCTCTGGGGCTTGATATGGTGGGCTCTGTGGACCAGACTTGGGGTGTTGGCTCTGGAGTCAATGGGTCCAAGCCAACTCCAGCTGTGCCTGGGGCATAGTCTGTGCCAGCTGACTGAAGCCCCAGAGCTTGGATTTTCAGGACCAAATGCTGGGAAGGCTGGAGCCAAGTCTGTGGGGTTATACATCTGTATGACCTTCCATCCTGCTCAGCCAGAGGGATGCTGTTTGAGGCCACTGAGAGTCCATGTTCACATGAGTGCCTTCTGTGACTGGCTCCTTATCTGTGTGGCTGTCCGTGTATATATGCATATATGTGGTGTATGTGTGTACTTGCACTTGTACCTACTGGGAATGCAAGCTGAGCCTGGCCACTGTTAGGGACTGGGGGCATGGAGTGACAGCCTCACTTCTGAGCGAGCATATCTGGTCCAATTTTCCCATAGCAATATATATGTATATCCAAATACATATGACATGTATATGCACATATATATTTACATGAATATGTACTTATGCATGTCATATTGATAGATACATTTCATAAAACTTTTGTGTAGCACAGTATGTCAACCCCGTGGAATTGAGATAAGAGAGATTAAAGCACGCAGGCAACAGCTTTCTCCCATAGCATTTGCATCACAAAATAAGTAAGTTGCTTGTTCATTTCAGAGATATTACATTACTTGCATCCTACCATGCACATAAGGTACTACATGCTACTTATGCACATCTGTACTGCAGCATGATTTCTAGTTGTAGTACTGGTTGGTTGGTGTGTTTCTGAAATTTCTTGAATCATATCAGCACAGGTAACAATTACAGCAGAAATCTGCAGGTTCTCCTGTTTTTACTGAGAGTGTAATTTCAGATGCAGCTGTTCTAATATGGCATTGTACTGCAGGTAAAAAAAAAACAAGTTCCTAATTCCTGTTGCCTTTACTGATAAAATTCAGATAGAAGAGGCTTTATTTCTAACACCTGCTTCGGAAGCACTTAATATTAGTAATCTGGGTTAATTCATCTGGAGAGTTTATTCCTAAACAATTAGTACAGAATTTTGAGAAGCAATTTGCATAAAAGTGAAGTGTGCAAGCAGTATGTTTTTAAGCACAGTGAAAAAGTCAGTGACAACATTAAAGAAGTTGCCATGGGTAAAAGCTGAAGAATGGCTGTAAACTAGAGGGTGAAGGTGTAAGGGACAAACACACCAGTGATAATGTCATGATTGGGTGAAATATGGATTCACACTTATTCCTGCTGGCCATGTTTTTACCCAGTGCAGTGGGATGATACAAAATGGTACCACAATAACACAGCCCTTTCTAAAAAAAGGCCACAGAGCCAGACTCCTAACCATATTTAGCACTACTAAATCACAATTGGCACAAGCAAGCTTTGGTTGTCACCTACTGACATTTCATTCAGCCTAAAAATGAAAACGTGGTTGCCTGCACTGCCAGCGTCTCACAGATAAGAACAAAGAAAGATAAGGCAAAGCAAGACACTTGTTGCAATTTAGGATCTTAGAGCTGTCACCACAAAAGGAAGAAGGTGTTGTCCCGCTGGGGAGAAGAACTAATACTTCAGCAACCAGAGAGAAGGAAGCAGGGATGCTGGCTCAGCTCCTTTGTCCTCACCATCTAGGGATGACAAATCTATTGATGCTGTTTGCACCCACCACTGAGGTGCCAGTGAGAGCGGGGGACACAGTGATGGCCAGAACAGCAGAAACCGCGGGTTGATAGGGACGCCAGGAGTCGAGGCATAAAGGATGAGAGTGGGAGGAAACTGACACAGAGCTCTGGGAAACACTCTGTTGTTTTCTTCTTAATGCCTGGGGCAGAGGACATGCTCTGTCCTGTCTCTCTTGCATCCTCACCATTAAGTATATCTCCAGTAGTGACAGTGTTAACAAATACAGTGGAAGAAACAGCTCTGAAAGCTGAGCCGCTCAGTCACATGCACAGGTTTTATTTTTAACATCCTCAAACTACTTGATGTTTCTGCTTGTGCTTGCTCTGTCTCCTCCCGTCCTCTCCTCTTTCTTTGCTTCCAGTTAGCCCTTACCCACCTCACTTCAACCCTGCTGAGCAAAACCAAGAGAGCAAGTGTTTGGTACAAACACAGGGACTCTATGATTAAGGTAAGTCTTTGTAAATAGAATTTCAGTCTTTATTGGTGAAACCTTATGCAATGCAATGGTTACTGTATTAAGCTATGAAAACCAAGATATCTTCCAAAGAATCTTAATAATTAGGATGAAGTAGGAAAATCAGACACAAGATGTCTTAAATGGCACCCTAGAATGGAGGCAGCTGATAACTGAACACTTCTGTGACAGGCTACTCTGCAAAGAAAAGCGCTCCATAATATGTGCATGGTTTGCAGCACTGTATGTGGGATTTTAAAAAGCTAAAACACTGACTCTTAAGCAGGAACTTCAGTACCAGGACAGATGATAAATTAAAAATTCAATTTCTGCAATTTTTAAGAAACTCAAAAATGCTAAGTCTTCAAATCCGGTGTGTTTGTAGATTCAGACTGCAAACCATGTGCTTTTAGTCCAGAATAAATAATAAGATGATGAGTGAGAATTTACAAGTGTTAAAGGTACTACCCCACTTTTTAGAGTTGTGGCTGCTTAGCAATTTTTATTCACAAATCTTCTCACTTTTCTTTTTATAAGACTTAGACCTTAAACAAGAGCACTGAAATTCTTTGTACTGCGCATCTGGCTTTGGCTGAGTTTCTTTTGTTTTCCTTAATCCCATTCATGTGATTGTCTCTTGTCTCAAGAATTTTTCAGAAAAGTATATTAACGAAATTGTTGTCAGGGAATGAAACACAACCTGAGCCCAAACCAAACCAAAACAAAGCAGTTCAGATCATACTTCTTTCCCCACCCCCCTCAAACTGCAGCTAAACTGAAACCTGTTATTTTAAAGCAATCACTGAACTCAATAAGCCCCTTTGCCAGGTACAGATGCACTGATGCACAGTGACAGTTTACTTAACTGCGTTTCTCTCAAGGACAGCCCAGGGACTTTCACATGTAATGCATAGCAGATGCCTGTCACATTTTGCTTCCCAGCTCCTGCTATTGCTCCAGGTCTGTGTGACCACGTCAGTACAAAGAATTTTTATGTGGGTCTATCTCAGATGAGTTGCTACTGGGTTGTTACAGGTAGGGAAGAGTGAGAAATCTGCTGACCTGACACTCCTACAGGTGAGTGCTGTGTGGGGTTTCCATCAACGGTGCCTCGGTGCTCTGAGCCCTCCCATGCTCCTCTTGCAGCAGCACTGGTGCATTTGGCTGTGTGGAAATGGCACGTGCAAGTGTCTGTGCCTCTCCACTGTGATTTACCAGGAGAGAAGAGGCCTGGTGATGCAACAGCTTCTCTTTAGGTCCTGCACATCAGATTCTGGAAGCTGAAGAGAAACTGATGGACTGTTGTGGGAACCTGAGCAGCACACATGATCTGAATGAAAAGCAGTGCACTGTGAAGTCTCTGCACAACTCATGCACTGCCTATGGGCATACCCTGTCCCTATCATTTTAAATATATTCTTATAGTATAAAGCAATTCCAACCAATTCAGCAACTTTAATCCAGTGTTTATTGTCATGGGACATCACATCCTCAGCTAGCTGGTCCCCTGCTGAGAAATACAGGGAACAGCTCCCTGATTGTTACAGTCCTGTCCTTCCATCTTTGGGCTTACCTAACAAGGCAGCTGTCTCATGGAAAAACTTTTCCTCTTCTTGTCTTATACCAGGGATTTGAGCTTCACCAGAAGGCTTGCCCAGGGTGTCCCTATAAAATCCCTATGAACTTCTTCAAGGGCTAAGCCTTGAAGAAACTGTGCCTTACAAATGCTTGATAGTAGTTTATTACTGTTACAGGTGAAGATTTCATCTATACCTTTTGCTCTCCCTTTGCACCTACCCTGAGCTGTGCTATGTTCACTGCCAGGTACCACAATATATCTGTAAGATCAGGCTGAATGGCCATTGAAGAGAAAATGTGCCTGGCAGGACAGTGATCTGTATGCAAAGATGTGGGGCATCTTGGGGGTCACTGTGACTTGTGATGGTGACATTCTTGGATTTGGTTTTCATTTTGTAGCAAAGGACAGGACATTAGAAAGGTTAGATTCGCAGAAATCATGTAAAAATGCAGAATGGTACCATTTCCAGTGGCATAGTGTTTTCTTTCTGAGTTTGTAGAAGTACATATATCTGTGTAATGACTGGAGACCCAAGCTTGACTTCTTGCTGAGGTTGTTCAGGAGGTGACCATGGAGGTGCACTGTACAAAAAAAGAAGAAAATGCTTAGTTTAAGGAGAGTTGGATATTTTCCTAGAAAATGTGATTTTCTGCCTATGCCAGCATGTTTGTGTAGGAGGCAAGATACCAGAACATGAGAGTCTCCAGGCTTGGTTTGTGTATTATTTGCAGAATGTATTATTTTTAATTCTATGTGGTTTTGTCTTTATATGCTCTAATTCTACATCTGTCAGATAGAAATATTAGTTTCTTTTAACCTCAGGTGCATCACTAGTACTGCAAATACAAATCCATTATCACTTATGAACCACTCAGATACTAAGACAGTAAATACATTGAAAAATACCATAAGGAAATTAGTAACTCTGCATTCACCTCAATATTTAAATAGTATGTGGAAAACTAGATAAACAATGCATAGTGTGTAACGGGGAATAAACATCTGCTTTCTGCCCTACATATTTCACATGCCTGTAAAATATTTTTAGTTCTAATATTATATATAACTTTGATATTCTGGCTCCAGTGTTTTGACACAAACTTCCCTGAAATTTTTAAGAGCTGCATATCATACTATAAATCTTAGAAAGATTTGTTTGTGTTAATTTTTAATCAGATCTCAAATGCAGTCTGTAAGCTAATAGTCTGGGGTTTCTAGTGGCCCTTTTTGTTGATTCCTTGAAATGGGTGATATCACTTAATTATTCAAGAAGAGCATGATGTATACAGTCTCAGTATATCATTATCCGGCACTTATGTGTAGCAAATACCAAATAAGAAAGAGTTGTTTTGTCTTGGCCCATTGACCCCAACTGAATTAAATGGACATTTACTGAAAATAAATTTTAATTGATTTATAAACTGCAGGTTATTACAACTGAACAGATCTGCTCCAGACATAGACATATCTGCCATTAAAAGGCAGTTGTGTATTTTTAAACATTACTTGATTTGCTGTCATGCCAGTCTAAAAATAAAGATTTACCAGAGTGGACATACAGTGGTTGACAGTTTGCATCTTTTTGTACCACAGTACCTTCAACATGATTTAAGTAAACATTTCTGTTTTGGTTTTTTTTTTTTTTTAACCCAGCTCTTAGAAAATATTGCATGTTGCAGGGAAACAGTAAGTATAGAGGTTTAGAGAAATGTTTCATTACTCAACGTATCGATGTGTCATCATTCTTTGGATGCTATGTATCACTGTCTGAGGCAAAAATGTGTAAACTTTCTGTTAAACGTTTTGGAAGGCTGTTGTATTTTGTGTACTGAGAATGATATCATCAACCAAGAGATGGAGTTAGCTGAATCATCAGTTAAAATACAGAGCTTAGGATTACTGACTTATTAGAATACAGGAATCATTCAAACCCCAATATGTATAGAAAAATGATCGCTCTCACTTGTCTAGTTTCACAGATTTGATAATTAGGAGAGAGATGTGGAAATGATTTGTCTGAACAAAAAGCATGTTCAAGTTAGACATGGGGTAAACTGCACCCACAGTGGCAGATCTGTCTACTCAAGAAGACTGATTCTGGGTCCAAATGCTCTGATGTGGTCATTTTTCACAAACAAAATGCTTTCTTTTTCCACACGCGATTCTGGTATGGCTGGTTTCAGCATACAGCAGCGTGAAAGCAGGCTCCTCTCCAGAAACTTTGTAATCAGCGTTCTGTGGTTTTGGATAGCCCTAAGGCCTGTCCTTCTCGTGTGTTTTTATTCATCAATTATTTTTCTCTGAGAGTTAGTTTTGCAGTGGAAAATATTGTTCATGCAGTCATGTTTTCATTGCAGTGCAATGTGCCCAGCCTTCCTCTGACCTTATGCAAGTCATAGCTGGGGCTATTTTTAGAAATTATATTTGCAGCAAAATGCTACAAGAATGACAGTAGCAAGGATGCTGCCAATGTGAAATAAATCCATCTGCATCTCTTCCTTTTCTGAGCCACATATAAGTAGATGTCACTGAACAATCTAAAGCAGGAGAGATGCAATTCTAAATCACGTGTATTTAGGGACTGAATCTTGCTGGGGCCAACGTGGCCAGCATCCCTGTGCTTCCCAAGGTAAGCAGGGAACGTTATATTGAGTGTCTGTGAAATAAAGCTTTCCTTCTCTGCTGTCTTGAGCACTTTCTGTGTGTGCAAACAAAGCCACAGGTACTCGACCCTTATACTTCAGAGTGTAAACTTGTCCCTAGGTGAAGGGGCCACAGAGAAATTGTTCCTTTATCGGGTAGATTGGAGACGCAATAGCGTTGATTCAATAAGGGGATTTAAAAACATTTTGGTCAGTGTTGGAAGCTGCAATGGACAGAATGAAACTATCAACACAAGTAATGCACCCTAACATTAACAGCAATTAGTGCACACTAGACTGAGCCAGGCTAAAATGCAAACTTTACAGCAAAGGGCAGAAGGTCAGTAGCCTGGAGCTTTTTGCTTGTAGTAGCTAGTCCTCAAGCCAAGTTGCTGCTGCCAGATCAAGGTGTCCAGAAAGGTAACTCCAAGTAGTATGAGGTCTAGGCAGTCTCTGGGTCTCCAATGCAGCTTCCTGTGGAAGCTGAGAGCTTTTGAAGGGAAAGGAATACAAAGGTCCCACATATTCCCCCTGAAACAATGCTGTTCATTGTAGACATTGTAGAAGAACACAGCTGGGCTGGATGGACCACCGATGGACCCAGACTATCTTTTCTTATGTCCTTATATTTTTAATGTCAAAAGAAGGCATGCCTCATGCCAATTGTCATCTCTGTCATCTCTTGTTTTCCCAATTTTAGTAAGGAGTAATAGCTATTGCCTGGAATTATTGCAAAGGTAGTGATGTTAGAAGCAAAGAGCACTTAGAACTTTTGGAAACGGGCTTTGTATGATTTTCATCTAATTAAACTAATTTAATTGACTTACCGGGAAAGGGTGAAAAACACAGTAATGAAACCAAAGCAGATGAGTGGTTCATTTTGACAAAAAGCCAGTAGTAGTCTAGTAGTAACAACTTTTTACATAAGGGTCATCATACATCATATTCCTTTGGTCTCAGGAAAATTGTATGTCTTTTTTGTATTAAATTTTTTTAAGAAGAGGAGAGGAAAAAGCATATAGATATTTTTAAATATTGATATCTCACACTGATATGGGAATGTGAGAACCGAAATGAATTCTTAAGAAAACATTTGGCCTGCTTATATGATAAAGCTGGTTGAAATTTCTGAGATATTTGTTTTGGCTTCCTCAACTCATTCTTTTAATCCAGTCTGTGAGTTGCAACACATTAAACTAATGGAGCTGCCTGATGGAAGCCAAATTTATGAAACAGAGACTGGTTTTGTTTATGCTCATTTCTGTTGCTTGAGAACTCTTTCCCTGTGTTCTGACCACTTGGAGTATCACTAACACTTTCATAAACTGAATCTAAAATACAATCACCTCAAGGCTATCTAGTCTGTTTTGGACAATGTTTGACAGTGACTTTTAAGTATGTAGGATGAACCAAAAAATATGAAGCAGTTGTGACCAGATCATTTGTGATCATTCATGTCCTTAGTGGGACAAAGCAAGGGTGATGAGATATATAGGTCAAAAGAACAGCTAGTTTTTCTAGGGAGGAAAATAACTGTCATCTTTCCCACTCAAACGGTGTTGATGAAAGGCGGAGGATCTCCCTCTGTGCCTGTGGAAGTCTTGATTTCAGCAATACAGAATGTACAGAATCAGTGTAAATACCATGACTGAAAACAGCTCATACTCACATTTTGGCTGCCTCTGTTGGGCTAAGAGCAAAGAGCGCTGAGATCTTTCCTATATTCCTGCTGCTAGCAGGCCATGATGTATGGTGAGGATCAATGCTGATGTGTAATTGTTTGGGGCTCATAGCCTGATTCCTGCCAGAAGTGTATGTGAGCATCTGACTTGTAGAAACTGGGCATGGGCACTGGTGGTCTGTTTCCCTTCCTGTCCCTTCAGATATTAACTCTGCTATTCTTGCCTTTTCTACACACAGCACAGGGCTCTGAAAGCTCCCCCCGGGCAGCACAGGCACTGCGAGAGGTGCTTCAGTCGGCACTGCCGCGCACCCATTGAGACCTCTGTCTCCTGCATGGTGATCAGCTGCCACCTTCACTGTGGTGCCACCTTCCACATGTGCAAGCAAGAGGAGCACCAACTGCTCTGCCCCTTGGAGCACGTCCCCTGCCTCAACGCACACTATGGATGTCCTTTCTCCATGGCCCGCTTTAAGCTGGCAAAGCACCTTCAGATATGCCCAGCCAGCGTTGTCTGCTGCTCAATGGAGTGGAATCGCTGGCCAAATGTGGATTCGGACACAACCCTCCACAAGAATATTATGAAGGAGAGCTTGAGTGAAGAGTGTCTGGACACAGCATTGGCACTCAGAGACCAGAAGATACTTTTCAGGAATTTGAAAGTAGCTGACTTGTTTCCAGAGTGGAGGAAAAAGGAGGAGGTGGGAAAGCTAATGGAAGAAGCCATGGATGGGATAGAAGGTGCTGTGGGAGGATTAGCCTGTGGTTCCCAGGAAGGCAGTGACCAGTTCTCTGAGCTCAGCCAGAGTGAGCGTGAAAATTTGGCAAAGGACAAGGAAGGAATGGACCTAGGGAGCTACAAAACCTGGGAGAACATTTTCAGCAAAGAGCTCTTGGCTTGCCAGGTAACAGGCTCAGCAACCAGCGCAGGAAAAAAGAAGGAAGAGGCTTCCAAGCAAAAAGCATCCAGCTCTTGTACTGCCGTCTCTGCAGAGAAGGCAAAGGAAGTACCTTGTAACACAGAAGAGGCAAAAGACCAAAAGCCCGAACAAACAGCAAATAAAGAAATGACAGGGCTGGCTCCTTGGCAAGAAGGGGTCCTGGAGAGGCTGAAGAAAGAAGTTGGTGTAGGTGATTACAACATGTATCTTGTGCATCATGGGGGAATGCTCATTCGCTTTGGCCAAATGGCTGCTTGCACACCCAAAGAAAAAGACTTTGTGTATGGGAACTTGGAAGCTCAAGAAGTAAAGACTGTCTATACCTTCAAAGTGCCAGTTAGTTACTGTGGCAAAAGAGCACGACTGGGAGATGTAATGGCACACAAGATACCTACTTCAGATAAGTCAGTGGATACCTCAGAATTGGGAATAAACCCAGAAGAACTACCTAAGGCAGATGTAGTGACAGCCACACTGCTGTGTGCACTGGAAAAAGAACTGAAAGGGCATGAGATCTCTGAAGCAAGAGGTATCGATGGACTCTTTGTAGACTTCGGAACACAGACATATAACTTTCCTTTAGAGCCTTTTTCCTGTAATGCTGTTCTAGCAGATATTGTAGATGAAAGCAGCCAACCAGAACTCCACGTGGAGCTGTACACCGAAAGTGTAACCAGAAGGCATAATAAAAGTAGTTCAGCTTTCACATTCACTTGCAATCATTTCTTCAGGAGGGATGAATATGCATCCCATTTCAAGAATGTGCATGCTGACATACAGTCATGTCTGGATGGATGGTTTCAGCTTCGCTGTCCACTGGCCTACCTGGGATGTACTTTTGTTCAAAATCACTTCCGCCCTGACGGACATAAGGCCAAGGTCATATACAGCAAGCTTCTCAATACATTCGCTATTAAACCAGAGGTTGACACCACCCTTGCTGAGTCAGAAAAGTGCAATTTCAAAGTGGATGATCGAGGGAGAACCAAGGACTTGCTGAGCAGCCTCCCATTGGAAGTGCTCAAGTACATTGCAGGGTTCCTGGACAGCTTTAGTTTATCTCAGCTATCACAAGTGTCAGTGCTGATGAGAGACATCTGTGCCACTCTTCTTCAGGAGAGGGGTATGGTCCTGCTTGTTTGGGAGAAAAAAAGATATTCCCATGGTGGTACTTCATGGAAAGCTCGCAGAAAGGCAAGTGATTGCTGCAATGGGGAAAAGATCACCATGGGCCCTCACCAGATAGGACACAAGCGTAACAACCAATTCTGCATACAAACATGCTGATATGGGAAGAGTTTGTGAGGCTGTTTAAATGAAACATAGTGTGTTGGGGAATGAGGCAAAGCTTTAAAGTACTGCACATCTGGCAAAGGTAAAAAGCTGTGAATAGGTACCGACAGACTAACTGCAGAGCCCCACCCAAGCTTGCCTTAGGTAACCTGTTTGCATTTGCACCATATTTAGGCACTGGAAACTGAGAATTCCTGATACTTAAAGGTCATAGATGGGTTTTAAGGGACTTGCATTTCATACTTTTGATTTATTCTTTACAAACTGATCTAGTGTAAATGGAACCTAAGTCAATCTTCAGAACACTGAAAGAGTAAAGAAAAGGCTGTGATGGAAAGCAGCTCAGGCATTCACATCAACTCCATAGGGTTTTGGAATCACAGAATCATAGTAGATAATTTCCTCTTAATGTCTAATCTAAGTTGACTCTCTTTTAGTTTAAAACTATTACCCCTTGTCCTATCACTACATTCCCTGATACAGTGTCTCTCCCCAGCTTTCCCGTAGGCCCTCTTTAAATACTGGAAGGCCACAAGGGGTCTCCCCGGAGCCTTCTGCAGGCTGCACGCTCCCAGCTCTCTCAGCCTTATGTAGGTGAGGTGCTCCAGTCCTCTGGTCATCCTTTGGACTCACTGCAATAGGTTTATTCTCCTTGTGCTGAGGGCCCCAGAGCTGGACGCAATACTGCAGCTGGGGCCTCATGAGAGCAGACAAGATGCTTTTAGCCTTCTGGGCTGCAAACCTGTACTAGGCTTTTCATCCACCAACACCTCCAAATCCTTCTCTGCACGGCTGCTCCCAATGCATCAATTGCCCAGCCTGTGCTTCAGATTGTCCAACCCAGGCACGAGTCCTTGTTCTTGGCCTTGTTGAACGTTGTGAGGTTTGCATAGCTCCACCTCTCAAGCCTGTCTAAGTCTCTCTAGATGGCATTCCTGCACTTCCATGTGTCAACTGCACCACTGAACTTGGTGTTATCTGCAAACTTGCTGAGGATGCACTCAATTGTATTGACTATGCTACTGAAAAAGATGATAAATAATCTCAGTCCCAATATAGATCTCTGAGGAACACCATTTGTCACTAGTCTCCAACTGGACATCAAGCCATTGACACTGTGAGTGTGATCAGCCAATTCCTTATCCACCAAGTCCATACCTCAAATCCATGTCTCTCCAATTTACAGACAGGAAGGTTATGCAGGACAGCATCAAATGCTTTGCACAAATCAAGGTAGATTATATCATTTTTCAACATCTGTAGTTTACAAGATCATCATGAACATTTGAGTTTTTGAGATGTGAACATCTGGGAGAGCAGCATGGGGATCAGAAGCCTTTTTCTGTAGTGCTGCCTCCTACTATTTGTGGAGTGGAAAAATACCTTCCTTACTGGCCAATTGAGTAGTCAGAATGAAATGTGTAAACATAGTTCATTGTAAGTCTTAGTTAATGCAGTAGTTATTACAATTTTTTTTTTTCTAGCTGATAGTCTTGTAGCTACTCTAACATAAAGCAGCTTGAAAAAATAATATCAGGGGCTTTTGCTTGATCAAGCAGACAAAAGTCTGGGAAGAAATAATTCAGAGATCCAAAGAATACTTACTTAGAAAATTAATCTGAGGACCCTAGCTTTTAAGCAGACCCCTAAAGATTCTCCACCTACCAATAATATTAAATGGACATTTATGGTAAGTTTTTCTTTCTCTTTATTAAGAGAAAATGTTAAGTGTGGTGACTTTGGAATTTGTGTAATAAGGCACAGTGGCTTCAAGCTGAGTTAGCTAAATCTGAATAGAAGGTGGGCGCTGACATCGTTTACTGGAGGATGTGACATCCTGCAGTAGAAGGAAAAACTTCCACCTATGCACTGACCACAGAGGAATCTTGATTCCAGTTCATGTACTCTGCTTGAAAGCATTCAATTTGTAATTAATCTGAATTTTTTGTATGACAGCTGGGACTATGCCAGGCTCAGGTAATTTTTAGTGCAACACAGCCATATACCATCCTTCCATGGGAAGAAACATTTTTAAGGAGCTGAAGCCTACTATGACTTTTAAAATTATTCTACTGAAATGGTATACAGCAAAAGGACATCTTCACAGTCTTACCACTACATGGTTGTATATCACTGAATGACTGGTATCACTACAAATAGAGTCAGAATATTTTAACTGCCCATTTCTGTATTTTACAAGCTGGTAACTCCTTTAGAAATAACCTTAACCTTAGACTTCCCAGCCTTTTTCTGGGGTGGGGATAGTGATGGCAGTGTTATTACATTCCTTACTTTGAAGTTGCTGATAAAGGTTTGCAAGGTTTGGAAGTCAGGTTTCTTTGAGATGCTATCACACAGACATCCTGTAGACATTCTGCCTTATAATTATCTTGGATGCATGCACCAGTAAGCATCTTGGATCCCACCACACATGTGATGTAGTTTTCTGCACGTGTGATGGTCATACGTCCTAGATTTCTTTGTGCCTAGTTCTAGGTTGGCACCATAAACTCTACTTTCCCATTAAAACTGACAGGTGGTGACTAAAACAGCAAAACCAGCAGGCATGAGGTAGGTGAAATTCAGAGAATGTTAACACTCATTATGCAGCCCTGCGTAACCAGATTTTTACTAGCCTGTCCTTAACGCTCGACAGGCATATATGTTTCTAAAAACCTATTTTCACTAACATTTTGGCTTTCCCTCTCCAATTCCTCTCCCCAATCCCTTCCTTGGCCCAGAAGTGGCAGTTCAGCAGCCTCTTCTCCAGAGTGGACCGGTGGCAGCTCAGCGATATGGTCTGCATGTCAGAGCACCTGAAGGAATGCCCTTTCTACAAAGTGGAGCGCAAGACAGACCCCGTGCTGCTGACCGGCATGTGTGAGACTCCACAGCAGGTTCAAAAGACTTTGGTTTCCACCTTCAAATGCAGAGTGTGAATAGCTGGCTTCCCCTCCACCATACTCCCTTCACAGTCTTTAAGAAGAGTTGGGAATTTGGGTTTGTTTGAAGATTGTCGCTTCCAACTGTCCTTTGGAAGACAAAACTGGCTTCTTCCCAGATTTTGGACATTCTTTTTTTTTTTTTTTTTTTTTTTCTCTTTCTTTTTTTCTTGCATTATTTTAATTGTTGAATCTTCATCCAGAGTGTTCTGGGAAACTGATGGCATGTGCTTTCTGTTTATTTCCCTGCTTAATAGAGCACCCTGCAGAAAGCAATAAGGATATAGTTGGAACATAGCATCTTTGACTATAGGCTGATGCTCCTAGCTCTATGGCCCCAAAAGAAGCAAAATTGGTCGATGCACATAGCTTGACTAGAACTGAAATACCTCACTTGTGGCCAGAAAGCTGAGCTCAGGGAGAACAGATGGATGCCCTCAAATGTAGCAGATCTAGGGATTGCTAATCTTTTCAGGCAAAAGAAAAGGCATCCCCAAATTTAAATGATCAAATAAAGACTCCAGTGAAGACTCAGGACAGCACCACACAAACACAAACCATCCTTTAGGGCCCTGATTTGGGCTTATTTAGGACAACATTTAAGTGTAAGCTTAAAGCTGAGGTAATGGGATCATCAAAACTAAACCAATTTACACTATCTTGGAAATAACCAGGTAACAATTTCAGGGGCTCAGTTGAGTTTTTCTGGTTTTTTGATTAATTTTTTTCTCTTTCATTTCCAAACCAATAAAGCCATCAAAAATATTTGAAGATGCTTTTAGAATGCCTTACCTACTCAGTTTTGCAACTGTACACTGCAAATTGTAATTGTAAGCAATTGTAAACAATTTGTCAAATAAAGATTTTTTTTTTTTTTTCTGTAAAAGACCTTTAAGAAACCATTCAGCACTGGTGTGGATAATGTTTGATTCAGTTAAGTGGGCTGAAGTATATTTTTTCTTTTATTTTGTAGAGTAGAAAAGTGATTAGGATTTGGTCTATTTTTAAATAAATGCACTGGTTTAAGAACCAAATATGCTTGGTGAGGCAAATGATGAGGCTGGTGAGATGAAAATGGGTGAAAACTTGCTGCACTTGCAACTCCTGGTTTTGGTCCAGGTGTGAGGTGTGGCTGGCACTGCATGGAGCCCTCTCCTACTGATGGAGGCAGGCATTTGCCATTGCAGATGAACCTCAGCTGAATGCTGAGTACTGAAGGCATGAGCAGTAAGGTATCTGAAAGGGTTCTGAGCAACTCATCCTCCTGTGTACTTGCAGCTTAAATTGTCCCCTTGAGATGTTAGCATTTGGGGATGTTCTCTTCTCTAGACACGCCCTGGGAGAGCATTGTCTGAACTGTGGGAACAGTGAGTAGGCATCAACATCAGGAGTAGGAATAGTAACAGTGACAGATTCTGATTTTTTATTTGTAGTTCTCTTTTCCTAGAGCTCTTTTATTGGAAGACTCTGCGTGTGAGAATAAACTCCTCTGTACAGATGTCCTGTAGAAAACAGGGCAAGTAGCACTCCAATTTTACAGCACATTTACAGGGAAACTGAAGCAAATGAACACATGCGATCTGCAACTAAAGCCAGATGCTCTGCTCTATTGCGCTGCACCTTAATTACACTGCAAAAATAAACTGCCTGTACTTTAAAGCTGCTTACAAAAACTCACCTGTTCTCAAAACATACATGAAACTCATTCTTTCATCAAAACTTCTAAAACAGGTCACCTAGTATTATTGTTCTGCTTTATGCAGGGAAGTTGATAGAGGTGAGAACATGCAGTCAGGCTTTCTAGGTTGGCTTTTCCATGAGGACTCCCTTCTCCACATATCATGTACCCCATTTTGAAAGATGCTGAGCACCTAACTGTAGACCACAAAAATTAGAGGCCAACATCTATTCTTGGTGCTTAAAAATGGGAGCAGTCAAAACTGTGGACAATCTTGAAAGAAAAAGAAAACAACCTTAAATGATAGCAACTCAGAGTAAGTCAATATTCAAAGCTGGTACAAGAGACTATGAAAAATGAGTCCAATCTAAGAACCATTTGATAAGAAACTTAACTGCTGTAAACTGATGTAGCTGCACTGAAATTGTGGTTTATGTTAGTTACAAATTGGGCTCATTTTACCTTTAGCATTGCTGTTATTCTAGTTCTGGTTTACTTCTGTAGATGCCAGAAGGCTTTGTTTTTGTATCTTCCTTTTCCTGGAGATCCCATGATTTCAGTTCCAGACTTATGAGCCTTTACTTAGAGGGTGGTGAAATACTGAAACAGTTTGCCCAGAGAAGCTGTGGATACTCCACCTCTGGAGGTGTGTATGGCTGGGATGGATGGGATCCTTGGCAGTCCGATTCAGTGGGTGGCAACACTGCCCATGGCAGGAAGGTTGGAACTAGATGATCTTTAAGGTCCCCTTCAACCTAAGCCATTCTACAATGTTAGCCTGATTCTGTCACTGGCTTTGCTCCTTTCCCCAGCAGGAGGTAGCAACGTAATGTACAGGGAGGGTGTAATCTTAGCAAACATGATGGCTAGCAGTGTGGGTTAGAGATAGAGATTATGCTGCAACTTGTGCCTCTTGGGATCAGCCAGAGATATATGGGTACAACTTCTAGGTGAGTGGGTTTGGGTCATTTTCCTTCTAGTACTATTAAAAGATACACTGCACAAAAAAAGGTGTTAATTTTACAGAGAAAGAGTTCATCCCTGTATACTTCTGTAAACTGCAAATTTTGTTGAGTCAACATGGTTCGTTTACAGCCTGGCCTTCAGCACATACAGTGGAAGATGAAAACCACAGTGATCTCCAGGTTAGCCTGGTTAATCTAGGTCTGTGAGAAGGAAAACAGTACAGGGAAGTAGAGGCAAAGCAGTGCATATCCAGCTAGCAAATCATATAATAAATGCCAGCTTACCACTTATTTAACACTAGAGGAGAGCTGTGTGCTAGTATCAGATGTATCCTATATAACCAGAGGAGGCATGCCAAGCTAGCTCAGTGTTGATGGCCCCACTCATTAGCACAGTCAGCAGAAGCTTCGGGAGCTGCAAGGAACAGAATTTACCCAAGCGTGGCATGAGCGTAACGCTGACTTAGTGTAAAAAGAGAAGCTATCTTTTGGATTCAGCAAATCACAGAATCACAGAACCATAGAATACGCCAGGTATTCTATTCTGACCCCACACAACATCACCCAAAATTCACACCCTATGTCTGAGAGAGATGTCAAAACGCTTCTCGAGTTCCATCAGTTTGGTGCCATGCCCACTGCCCTGGGCAGCCTGTGCCATGCCCACTGCTCTCTGGTGCAGAACCTTTCCCTGACCCCGAACCTGACTCTCTGCTCACAGCTCCACGCCGTTCCCTCGGGCCCTGTCGCCGTCACACAGAGCAGAGCTCAGCGCTGCCCCTCCGCTCCCTGTGAGGAGCTGCAGCCGCCATCAGGCCTCCTCTCAGCTCTTCTGCTCTGAACTGAACAAATCATGGGACCTTAGCCACTCCAGACCATTCCTCATCCTCACGGCTGTCCTTTAGATGCTCTCTCAGTGTTTTATGTCCTTCTTATATTGCGGCGTCCAAACCTGCATGCAGTGCTCAAGCTGATGCCATACCAGTGAAGAACAAGTACTTAGGCTGCTTATATAGGCTTTTAACCTGACCCATAGAAAGTTCAGATAAACAAGGCTGACAGATTTTGTGGTGTTTCTTCCAACAGGAGGAACTGGAACTGAAAAGAAGGGACTGGGGAAATCAGGGAGGTGAGAGCAGGGCAAAACGGCTCAGGGCCAGAGAACAGGAAAACTAGAAAGAGGAAACGCATGTGGTTTGGATAGAGGAAAGCTGCCTGGTTTTATGGGGAGCAGCAAATGGAGAAAGGTAAAAGGGTGCAGATAGCAGAGTGGTGTGGAAGAATTGATGGGACTGCAAATGTGCGAGGAGGGAATGTCTAAATTTAAGAGGCAGTAGATGGTTAGAGGTGACAGTAAGGGCAGCAGAAACCTCTAAGAATATTATGGAAATTGAGAGTTGATTTTATATTATTTGATAAGAAAACCTGGTGAACCCAATGAGCTGCAGACTGTTTTGAAATGTAATTTTTACAGTGATCCTCTCTCTGTGGGAAAAATTCTCCTGGGTTGAAGTATTCAGCCAGTATACTGATGAAAAGCAAGCCGAGAGACCACTGTTAAACCACAGAGTCACCACTTTTGATGTTTCTAAGCACTCATCTTTTGCTGTCAACAACAGATTTTCTGGATAAATGCTTCCCTGGAGATGTGGATTTGAATTCCCTATTAGTGTTATATATTTACATGGGGTGTATGGCATTTCTTCAGGGGTTAAAGGGTAAGTCACCTACTGACACATCAGTCCAGACTGGGGTAAGAAGTTACTTGTCAGGCCTCCAATTCTTAAAACTGAGTAAACACAGATAAGGTAAAGTTTATTGGAACAGTGTTTGTTATTTTGCAGAACTGTGTAACTTCTTGTTGCTTTCTTAAAAATAAAACTTGTTACAGTTAAAAAATGCATCAAAATCCACATCCTACCTTGTTTTCATAATTCCATCACATTAACTTTATTTCCAAATTTAGAAAGGATAAAAGATCATTTTAGATCAGACATGGTAGTTCCTGTATTCTCATATTTACTATTCTCTTTCTATTTGCTCCTTTATTCATTCAGTATAATTTTCTTGGTTTAAGATTATAGTTATGTATCAGCAACAGGTAGTTTTATTCTTGACCCCATCTTCTTTGCATAGTCACCTTCTCCTTTTTGATTCAGGTATTTATTTACACAAAAAATTTTATTTTCTAAAAATTCATTTTCCACATTAATATCACATTATGTCTGCAAACATTTGAAGGTGTGTTTTGTTTGGCAATCAATTTCCTTACCTGTCACATGTATTCAGTAGCCTCATGGCTGTTGATCGAGGTAGCTGCAGAGGGATTTTTGCTCTTGCTCTGGGGTACAATTGCCATAACAACTGACCATCTCTCAGAAGAATCCTGGGCTTCTTTCACATTCAGTTTCTTCACCATTACAGTCTATATTAAAGACTTTTATCATTTCCTTGATTTTTTGTTTGTTTGTTTCCATTTTGAACAAAATTTTCAAGTACTCAGCAGGCCTGTTTTGTTTTTTTTTTTAGCTTTCTGCTTAATTGATATGTAAGCAAATCATGATCACATGCTCCAAATGTATTTTTCATCAACAACCTTTTCTATGACTTTGTTTCTATTCACACAGACACAGTGACTGTTTTGTGAAGGAATTTGTTACCTGTCATATCAAGATTTATAGGCTTAAGCCCCATCATGATTATCAGAGACTTCCCCCAGTGCCTAACATTTTCTCTCAGCAAAGGACATGAAAAAAGGCAGTCCTGAAAATGCCACCAAAGCTCACCCATTCTCTCACTAATGCTGTGCACAGGCTGTTTTTTCCATGTTTTTTTCTTTCAGACAGCTGGGGTGGACTTGTCAGCTGGCAAGTAAGGCAGCTCCTCGCACTCCATGGAGGATCCACAGGGAAAAAGGAATAACTCTAGTTTCACATCCCAGCCTCTCACAGAGCTGGAATCTTATGAAAAGCAGGCTTGTAGAGAAGTGACAGCCTTCACTGGGTGCTCAATGAGTTGGCTGCATGCAGATGGACAGTGTTAAGGCTGGCATGGCACTGACACTTAGGAAGAGGCCCAGCAAAACCTGTAGCTCTGGAAGCTCTACTCCATCCCGCTTTCCTACTGCCAAAGCCCTCCTGCTAAGTTCCTTGTGCTTGGTAAAGAAAGAGTTAACAGGCTTAGAGGTGCTGGGATTGTTTCCCTTCTGCTTCTCCAAAGTGAAAGTGAAATTAAAAGCATGGTGCTTCTGGCAGCCTGGGGCAGGGCCTGGTTCCAGCTAGGCTTTCAGAGCATTTTGGCCTGCAGAAGACCCCTCCTTAGGGGCAGTATGATCCTGGGGCTAATCCTGTGCTACTGCATGCTGGCTGTGCTGGCAGGTGAGCCGGGGCTT